ACTGTAAAAATCCTAAAAGAAAACCTAGAAAATATCATTCTAAACATTGACCTTGGCGAAGAATTTATGACTAAGTCCTCAAAAGCAATTGCAACAAAAACAAAACTTGACTAATGGTATTTAATTAAACTAATGGGCTCTGTGCAGCAAAGGAAACTGTCAACAGAGCAAACAGACAACCTACAGAATGGGGGAAAATATTTGCATATTCTGCATTCAACAAAGGTCTAACATCCAGAATCTATAAGGAACTTAATTCAACAAGCCAAAAACAACCCCATTTAAAAAGTGGGCGAAGGACATGAACAGACACTTCTCAAAAGGCGACATACAAGCAAACAACAAACATATCAAAAAATGCTCAACATCACTAATCATCAGAGAAATGCAAATCAAAACCACAATGAGATACCCTCTCACACCAGTCAGAATGGTTATTATTAAAAAGTCAAAAAAATAAGATTCTGGTGAGGTTGCAGAGAAAAGCAACCTTTGTACACTGTTGGTGGGAGTGTAAATTAGTTTGGCTACTGTGGAAAGCAGTTTGGAAATTTCTCAAAGAACTTAAAAAAACTACCATTTGACCCAGAAATCCCATTACCAGGTATATACCCAAAGGAAAATAAATCGTTCTACCAAAAAGACCCTCATATGCTCACCACTGCACTACTTGCAATAGCACAGACATGGAATCAACCTAGGTGCCTATCAGCAGTGGATCGGATAAAGAAAATGTGGTACATATACACCATGGAATACTAGAGCCATAAAATAAAATTATCTCCTTTGCAGCAACATGGATGCAGCTAGAGGCCATTATCTTAAGCAAATTAATGCAGGAACAGAAAATCAAATACTGCATATTCTTTCCAATAAGTGGGCGCTAAATATTGGGTATTCATGGACATAAAGATGACAACCATAGACACTGAAGACTACTAGATGGGGGAGGGAAGGAGAGAACTAAGGATGGAAAAATTACCTTTCAGGTACTATGTTCACTACCTGGGTGACAGGATCAATTGTACCCCAAACCTCAGCATCACACAAACCCACACATGTATTCCCTGAATCTAAAATACAATTTGAAATAAAAAAAAGAAAAAGAGTGTGCCTGAGATAACATGTGATGAGCAGGACTTACATAATGTATGCATCAAAAGACAAATATTGACTATGAAGCAAGCTTTCTCTGTGGGTTTGAAAACACAATTCAACCTCCAACCCCATTCCTCCCTCAACCATACACACTCCATCTTGTTTCATTTTAAGTCAAGATTATTTTTCCCAAGGAAAACATTTATCGTGTGTTTACTGCATATGCTTATCTGGGAGCTTATTAGCAGAATTCTCTCCAAAAAATCTGTAGGGCTAATCTGAAGTTGAACAAAAAGTGGTTTTATAAACATTTGGGATCCCCATCACCTCCTTGGTCTTGGCACTCCATGAATCACTGATCCACATCTCCCTGGGGCTTCCGATGCTGCTGACAAGAAGAAATTGCTATTTAAATTATATCAGGGCTGAAATGAGCTCCAACCCACACAGGAGTATCAGCTCCAAGGAGGCACATCAGAGCTGACAGTTACCTTAAGGTAAACAGTTCGACTGTAAAGTGCAGTTTTATGGCCCCAGTAAGTGATTTCCACTCAGCCTCACAGGTGTATGTGTATATTTTTTCTTTGTTGAGGAAACTGTAATATCTTACTCTTAGCACCACAGAATCTCCTCTCCCAGAGAGCGTATTAAATGTCCCTCCAGTTTCCAAGGCTTAGTTAAGAGCTTTGTAAAATCAACTACATATTTTTACACAGGTGGTTGCTAAGCATGTTGAATGATTCTCTGCCTACAGACACTTCCAGTCAAGAACCCATTCAATTGTGCATAAAACGGGATAAAAAGGACTTTTCTTTCTTGATTTTTTTTTTACCACGTCATGTCTAAGGTAGTGAAAATTAGATCATCATTAGCTGGCATGTTGGGAGTATCGAGATATCCAAAATAACTTACATGTTATCCCTACCAAATGCCCAGGTCCTGATGTTTTAGGACCCTTGTTAGAAGGTGCACTTCTACCTTCAAGTATCACCTTTAGTTTACCCTCTAGATTGTGACCAGATAAATCTCAGGAAAGGAAAGGAAACAATTTCCTCTAGTCATTAACAGAACAACAGAAAGGCAAACACAAGAACCACAATTGCCCATGATTCAGTACTTTGGGTATTACCTTCCACTTACTATCTTTAATGAACTGTGCTAATTCCCAGTAAATGTTCTTATTTTCTATAAAAGGGCATATTCCTAATATCTACATTGTATACTATAGATATTCAAAATATTCAAGAAATATCGTTTAAATGAATGTTTAACAACTCAGGTGGGGGTGGAAGAGAATTTTCTTAATAATTTTTTGAAAAGCAGCCAGTCCATGAATAGGCACAGTACTTATTATAATCAAGGCAGATGTTTGGCCCCGTCTTTCTCTTCCCTTCCCCAGATATTCTGCTTAAAAGGTCTGTCTGATTCCCCTGTGAAGCTGCCTTCACTCTTAGGAAGAGAAAAAGTAAAATAGGAAGGACCAGATTCAAGAAGCTCCTATTCTTCAAATGCTCACAACAAATTTTCTTAATAATGACTTTTTAAATATGTAGATGCTATAACTGCTTTCTTAAAAGTCTGATGGACAGAATTGTTCTGAAGCCTTTGCTTATTAGGGAAGATTTATTGAAAGGAAAAAGAATAATCAGTCCAAACTTTTCTGGATGACTTTTAAATAGATGTGAGTCCTAAAAGTTAACCTAGGGTTCCTCCCGAAGACTAAAAATGCAAACACATTTTTAAAACTAATTAAATGCTTCTGGTTGCTAGCATAGTCCTTTTAAATGAGTCTCATTTTAGATATACTAAACCTTAGCTTCTCTACTTTTGACATTGCTAAACAAAGTTTTCAACCCTCTGGTTATAGTCAGCATGTGCCTACGTTTCTACTTATTTGAAAAGGAAAACTGTAAAATGTTGAGCCCTTCTCTTTTAGCTCCTTGATCTTGAGCCTCAGTTTCCTCATTTGTGAGTTGGAAGAGTTGGACAACCTTCTCAAGGCTTCAGGGGTAAGGTGGGGCTATAGGATAAGCACAGATGAGCTAGCCAAGGCAGTTCTATTTTAATCGGACATGTTCATTCTGTAAGATTTTCTTTGGTCAAAGAGGGATTTTGACTTAAAAAAGAAAAAGTTCACAAACACCGGGATTAAATGAATGATGACTGAGGTCCCTTGGGATTCAAAGCTCCCATGGTGGAGATTAGCTTTACAAATTTACCAGTTAAGTAAAATGTGCAGTTTGGTGGTTGTTGAATCTTTGGTTTGGTTTGAAAAGCAGGTGATAGCTATGCCTTTTCCAACGACAAGCTTTTGGTGAGGAATGCAATGCCCTCACTGACAGCTGTTCCTCTGGAAAGTTCTGGATGCATATTCAGAAGGTCTACTTCAGATCATATAATAGTCCTATTTTTAATTTTTTTAGGAACCTTTATAATGTTTTTCAGAGTGGCTGTGCCATTTTACATTCCCACCAACAGTGGACAAGGGTTCTAAAATCCTAACAGGTATGAGGGGATACCTCATTTCCGTTTTAATTTGCATTTCCTTGATGATTATTGATGTTGAGCACCTTTTCATATACCTGTTGGTTATTTGTATCTCTTCTTTGGGAAATGTCTATTCAAATCCTTTATCCATTTTTAAAAACTGGTTATTTGGATTTTGATGGGTTTTCTCCTCTCTTTTCTTTCTTTCTCTCTCTCTCTCTCTCTTTTTTTTTTTTTTTTTTTTTTTTTTTTTTTTTTTTTTTGCTATTTTGTTGTGGAAGTTCCTTATATATTTCAGAGACTAACCCCTTATCAGATATATGGTTTTCAAATATTTTCTCCCATTCTTTGGGTTTCCTTCTCAGCCTGTTGATAGTTTTCCTTGCTGTGCAGAAGCTTTTCACTCCTGGGTCTATAACTCCAAAATCTGAAATCAGGGTCTCAAAGAGATATTTGCACTCCTAGAGTCATTCCAGCATAATTCACAATAGCCTAGATGTGGAGTCAACCCAAATGTCCATCAACAGATGAGTGAATAAAGAATATGTGACATATGCATAAAATGGAATATTATTTAGGCTTTAAAAAAGAAGGAAATCCTGCCATATGCTACAACATGGATGAACCAGGAAGACACGAAATAAACCAGACACGAACAACAAATACTGCATGATTCCACTGAAATGATATATCTAAAATTGTCAAACTCATAGAAGCCGAGAGTAAAATGGTTGTTCAGGGGCTGGGGGAAGGGGGAAATAGGGAGTTGCCCCTCAATGGGTATAAAATTTCAGGTTATGCAAAATGAATAAGATCTAGAAGTCTGTTGGACAATGTAGTACCCGTAGTTAACAGTACAAATCTGTGTACTTAAAAATGTGTTAACATAGTAGATCTCATGTTAAGCATTTTATCACACACATACCCCCACATCCAAAGCAAAGGGACACAAGAAAATTTTTGGTGGTGATGTATATATACATTACTTTGATTTTGGTGATGGTATGATGGGTGTATGCACATGTCTGAACTCATCAAATTATATACATTAAATATGTGAGGTATTTTTGTATATCAAATATACTCAACACTACAACATGAATGAACCTGGAGGACATTATGCTAACTGAAATAAGCCAGACACAGAAAGACCACTACCATACTATTCCACTTAAGTAATATATCTAAAATAATCAAAGCGAGGGGTAGAATGGCATAATAAAACAGTCTTATTTTGTGGTAAAAATCCTAGAAGTACATGGTGGAGACAAAGAACAATGGATTGTACTTCTGTGGCTGAGGGAGGAGATGGTTGAGGGTAAGAAAACAGCAGCAAATGAAGCTCATCAATAGAGGTTATGCAGAGAGAATGGCTCTGGAATGAAAGCATGCAAGAAGAAAAAGCAGTTACTTACCTTGGAGAGAAGAGAGTTGTGATGAGACTTTCACTGGTAGGAGCCTACAAAACTGAAAAGAAGAAAATGAGTGAGAAGTAGCAAAAGGAACAGAATAAGGAGGAGATGGTGACAGCTTGACATGATTTGTGAAGACTTTCTACGGAGTGATTGCCAGTCCAAGAGAAATCGTGAAAATAAGAAGGTAAAGATGAACCAAATATAAAAGTTGCAGTGAAAAAGGAAATGAACAGTAGGAATGACAACAACAACAATAATACCACCAGACAGATAATGAGAAGAAAAATGGAACATGGAGGATTCATTCAAGGAAGAGGTTGCTTTAAGCCACAAGTCCAGGAAAAGGATGAGTGCTTGATAAAAACTCCCAACCCTTAAGATTAGCTTCTGAGTCAAACTATCACTGAAGGTTCTTATTACTGCCTCGTAAATGGCCATATTCATTTCACAGCTCTCGAAGGGCTCAGAACACATTCTTAAAGCATCTTAGAGCTATAATCTGAGGGTTAACCATGACCAGCTTTTATTCACAAAGCTTCTATACTTACCATCTGCACAGCACTGCTCTCAACTCTGCAAAAGCCAAAAGAGAAAAAAAGCTCTATGATTAAGAAGAAAAAGTCATCTTAAACAGTTTTTACTGAGCTAAGTGCCCACAACTCCCTCTCCCTCTTAGATTTTTATCACACATTTAAAAGTCAGCAAGGCAAAGGCAAATGAAGATTTCTACAGAGAAAGGGGGAATAAAACTACTTAAAGAAAGCAGCTTGCATTAGGATCTACAGAACCTCATTTTGCAAATTTAAAATATTAAGTGACTTAAGTATTAAGACAAGTTGTTTCTGGGAAAAGAAAACCAACTCTATTTTTTATCCATATTCACTGTAAGTTCTCTGTGCCCACCAAGGTAGACATAATGAGAATTCATCGGTTGTACGAAGCTAATTCAGTGCTCCCTTGAGATTTGAATCTTTCCACAGACTTCTGCTGATGCTGTCATGAAATCTGCCACTTTCTCTCTTTTAAAATAGTGACACTAGTCCCCTTTATAGATAATAATGATGATTCTTATATTTATTTGCCTTAGCCAAAGGAGCAAAATGGCTTTATGATTGAGAAGAAAGCATAATGGTAAAAGGTATGCATTGAGCTACCCAATAATGGCTTTAGATGTTTAATGCAAAATAATAGGCTTGTGCCAAGCCCATGATGGAGTGCTTATCGGGTTGTTTCCTTCTTGTGGTGGGGGAGACAGGATCTATCGCTGTTTCTTTCTGGAATGTGACTGATTTAGATGATTTACAAACTTTGCTCCACAGAAATGCCTCTCTCTCTGTGGGGGAGGCTCTTCCTCTCTCCCCCATAATAGAAGGGACAAAACAAAAACAACGAAGGAGCCGGGCACAGTGGCTCACGCCTGTAATCCCAGCACTTTGGGAGGCCAAGGCGGGTGGATCACGAGGTCAGGAGTTTGAGACCAGCCTGGGCAACATGGTGAAACCCCGTCTCTACTAAAAATACAAAAATTAGCTGGGTGTGGTGTTGGGCACCTGTAATCCCAGCCACTCGGGAGGCTGAGGCAGGAGAATTACTTGAACCCAGGAGGCAGAGGTTGCAGTGAGCCGAGACTGCACCACTGTACTCCAGCCTGGGTGACAGAGACAGACTCTGTCTCAAACAAAACAAAACAACAACAAAACAGCCTGGTAGGGAGCACTGCTGAAAGGAGGGAGAGAAGAATGGGGTTCCTACAGAGGTAGAAGTCAAAAAAGCCTTTGGGTTTCTGCAACTCCTCTCCCTCAGCACGAGTACACAGAACTCCAGCACCCATCCCAAAGCCCCTCTTACCGACCCCAGCCTGGCCCCTCCACTGCAGCGGGGCCAGTGCCCCCAGGGTCCCCTGAATGCAGCACAGGCCTCCTTATCTTTGCTTTGCTTTGCTTTCCCAGACACTGCCCAAGCCCCATCTCCTCAGCACAGCATTTCCTGACCTTCCAAAGCACCATTCTCTCTTCCTCCCCTGAATTCCTTCTGCATCAAGTCCGATTTGAGTGCTTGGCTCTAAGTCTCATTGCCTTTTCTTCGACTCTAGTTCAGACACATGTTTTGCTGTCCCACTGAGATAGCAAGCTAGAAAGACAAGGAGGCATCTCATACTTTTGTTTTCTTCATGGCCTTAGCATAACCCTCACTCAGGGATTCCTTGCTGAGTTGAATGGCTTCAAACCGAACCATGAAGAGTAAAAGCACAGAAAATCAAACCCCTTCCGAGACAAAGATCTGACCTCTTCCGCTTTCCCGAGCACACAAAGAGGGTGAGAGGCTTTCCCACCAAAGTCCCCCCTACTCAGATTTGGAGTCAAACTGTAGCACATGAGAAAGTGAGAAGTGGTTGAGAGAATGAGTAGGTCCATACTGTTTCATGCCTACCAAATAAGGACTTGTTTGTTTGTTTGTTTTTTGACAGAATCTCACTTACTCTGCCACCCAGACTGGAGTGCAGTGGCACAATCTTGGCTCACTGCAACCCCTGTCTCCCAGGTTCAAGTGATACTCCTGCCTCAGCCTCCCGAGTAGCGGGATTACAGCCGCCCAACACCACACCTAGCTAATTTTTGTATTTTTAGTAGAGACGGGGTTTTGCCATGTTGCCCAGGCTGGTCCCAACCTCAAGTGATCCACCCGCCTTGGCCTCCCAAAGTACTGGGATTACAGGTGTGAGTCACCGCCCCTGGCCAGGACTTTCTTGTCTGTTTGTTACCTTTTGATTTTTAAAACGGCCTGTTAGCCGGGCATGGCAGCAAGGGCCTGTGGGCCCAGCTATGCAGGAAGTTAAGTGGAAAGATTCCATGAGCCCAGGGCTTGGAGTTCAGCCTGGGCTCCACAGTAAGGTCCCAACTCTTTAAAACATATTGCCTATAATTTTGGAGGAAAACACAAAAATGTGAGGTTTATTAAAGCCAATTTCTGAGCCTTAGACACCGTGTTCTTGTCTATTCATTAATTATGAATTTACTAAAAATATATTGTTACTGAAATGGCAAAAGTTCCCTTGTCCCCCTTGCAGGGCACGTGACGAGGGTGTGGCTCACTTCTTCAGTGCCCTGCTGCTCAAACCTCCAAGGGGAGCATACAGACCGGCAGGGAGCCCCAGGGCTGTGTCTAGGGGTGAACGTTTACAGCTGAAGCCACAGTGGGCATGCATTACAGGGTGCTCTTTTAGTTTAGCCATCAGTAGGTGGCTTGTGATAGCTTGTTTAGACGCCCCCTGCCTTATCACAAGGAGAGAGGGCTTTCTGTATCCCGGGGTTCTTGACTTGGTGTACAGGAAGAATCAGATCACACGTGGGCTTGGAGAATGAGCGCAAGGCTTCATTGAGTGGAAGTAGCTCTCAGCAGATGGGGGAGCCAGAAGGGAGATGGTTTTCCCCTGGAGTCGGGATGCTTGGCCGCCAGGGCTCTCCTCCAACTGCCCCGGCCAAACTCCAGGCCGTTCTGCCAGTGAGTGGCCTGCTGGTGTGCCAGTGCCTGTCAGAGCTCCTCTAGATGTTCAGCTGCCCACGTGTGCCTCTACTGAAATGCTCCTCTCCACATCCAGCCACCTGTGTGTTTGCCTGCTAGGGTCTCGGGGATTTTATAGGCAAAGGATGGGGGCGTGGCAGGCCAGGGTGGTCTTGGGAAATGCAACATTGGGACAGGAAAACAAAAATGTCTGTCCTCACCTAGGTCCATAGGCACAGGCCCGGGGGTGGAGCCCTAGCTATGAACCATGCCCTTCCCCGCTTCCCTATCATTTAAAGGGACCATGCCCTTCCCTTCTAGGACTTCCCTTCCCCATTCCGCATCATTACTGAGTGGCTGCATTGTGCATTATGATAGCTGCTGGGTGTCCACTGATGAACAAAAGACACCTGGTTGTTATCTTCATGGAGCCTGTATTTTAAATAAGTTAACACATATATATAACAAAATAGAAGTGGTTAGATTGTATAATGTGTGAGTTGTATGTCAATATGACCATTACAAAAATAAATAGAGACTACAGAGAGCAGCCCTTTTAAGTAGAGTGGTCAGGGACACCTATTTTCACTCTGTGTTCTAACTAAGTGTGCATGCACTACAATTATCACCTGCATATTCTCACATGATACCCTGCACGCATTAGGTGCTTTTTAACATGTCTGCGGTCCAGATGAAGAATGCTGAGGCAGGGCTGGACTTTCTTACTTGAAGATTCTGGAGAACACAAAGAGACACGAAGCATTTAGCTGCCACCTCCCATCACAGATGTTCCAGTGGCATGTTAACTTGTAACTGGATTGGCTTCTCCAGAGCCCATCCCTTTCCCTCTCTTTTTGGGAGTAACTGTAATCTCCAAGTGCTTTATTTTCCACTTTGGTGAGTCACCCAGCCAGAGAATGGAGAATGTAAGTCATTACTTTCTTCATCTTTGTGATAATTTGATACTGTCCTTTTGAATGTTTCTTCTGTATTTAAATCTTGGCAAGGGCCTGCTACATTGTTTGCGATTCTTCTATTCTTATTGCCAGTTTTTTTCTGGGAAAATCAAAAAGAATAAGATGCAGGACACATCAAGCCACAGCTACTTGGCTCCCTGGTAAGATAGGGTTTTTCCCATTCTCCTGCCGCCCTCATCGTCTCCTGGCTCTCGGTCTTTGCTTCTGAGGATGCTCCCTGGAGACTCTCCCCGGGTACATAGTCTCTTGCTGAGGCTGATTGAGAACATGCTAATCCCTTTCCTCTTTCACACCCCCAAAATTAAACATTCCACAAAAATTCTTCTTCAAGGTGAGACTGACTGGCTTAATCTCTGACAGGTTTTCTACTTGCGTTGACATGAGCGACAGAGAAAAATTAGGTGTTCTCCAACAGGCTCTCTGAGAATACAAAGAAAGGAAGCCCCTTAATCTAAACCAGTCCAGAATTCCAATGGTCCTGCACTCCACACATTGTTAGAGCTAGCTCCTTTAATAACAAGGGGGAGTTGTTGAACTTCCAAAAGATAAATTAAGTTACCATTCGCTGCCCAGTGCAGCAGTTAGGGGAGTTTTCCCAACTGATCCAAGCCAATCCTTACGAAAAACGAGAGTTATTTACCAACATTCGACAGTAACTACATTAAAATATAAGCCTTGGCCCTTGAGTCAGAGTAAAATTGTTTCCTTGACATTCGGGTTTGAATGTTTTCAATATATTAAACAAGACTCTACAGTAAAATATTGACACCGTATTTGTCAGCTTCATGTCAGTCCCTGAAATATTTCCTCAAATAAACAGTTTGTCACAGATTTATTTGTAGGTGGCACTAGATCTTTATCCTCTAGTGCATTCATCGAACATCAGGGAACATTTCCCAGATATAAGAAACTAATATGTTGTGAAAACAGAGAACTAAATGGGGAGTTTAGACTATCCCTAAATCAAATGCCAAACATGTAATTGAATAGCATATTTGATTCAATTACTGCAAAAAGGATTGCATCAACAATTCAGCAATTCAGTCATGGGTTTGGTAATGAACTTGAAAATGTTCAGTTTTTTAATACCTCCCA